TACTCCAGCTAGTAGCATACATAGTTTCTAATCTGTAATACTACTTTTATTTTTTTCATGAAACATGGATGGCAAAACAAAAGATTTTCAAGGAATGTTTTACTTAACTGGAATTGTTTTTTACTATAATGGCGATAGTAATATATATATATAAAGAAATTGGAGATTAAAACAACTCTTAAACAAACACATATACATACCCTCAATCGATTTGATGTTGTCCTAAAGACACAGAGAGACTAGTTCGATCCCATGTAGGTCTAACTTATTACTCTCAAATTCCATAAAACATATATATGTATATACAGCGAAAACAATAATCTTGACGATATTACAACGAAATGCATAGTATAAGATAAATAGAAGGTAGACGTTTGTAAAAAAAGGTTTAGTAGAAGTGTTTTAGAGTTTTCGTAACATAAGTGTCGGTCTTCGGGTATATATAGAAACATTAAAGTCTGCAGTTGTTAAGCATTTTCTTGTGTTTGTTCAACTTATCACTGCTATATGAAGTTTATGTCTGGCCTTAGCATCATCCTTTCTTGATTCATATAGCTCATGGAACATTACTTTACTTAAAACTCTTTAACACGTTACCAAAATCTTGATCTTTTCTGAGATCTTGGTATTGCGATATACTGAATCAAATGTAACCATTTCCTGCTAAAAACAATGATTGATAAGTAAGTAATATCCTTGAAATGGTTCAACGTATGCCAGTCATTTAATTACGTACAGATAAGTACAATCTCCATAATTCAGATGAAGTTGGCACTTACCCTAACTCTATAGGCGCTAGAAACAGGTAATGAAATACGTTTAAAAACTTCATTATTTTTTGAATAAACCTATTATATTTTGAAGATAAAAGGTTGTTACAACGTAATGTGTAGCTTTATGTATATTTTTATGTGTATTTTGGTAAATTTTTTATTAATCGTAATTAGTTATTACTGATGTTTATAAAACTCTGATTAATTATTGAGCAACAATTTCATGAATACAGTTTAGTATTTTTTTAAAACAATATAAAACATTCGATGGAAACTTACGACTCATTTCTACAGTGATACAATGTGTGACACACTTTTATATTGGAATTTATAAGTCCTCAAAATAAAGAAGGCTGATTAATTTCGCGTTCAGTGAATAGGAAGGAAGGGATTTAACTTTCACCATTTACAAATTTCAAAGAGAACTTTTCTTTACTATGCTGAATTATTTTAAGCAATCAGATATTATTAATTTGTTTGTGGGTTTACAATATTATTGAAAATATAAAATAAAAGAGTTTAGCTAAATATATATCCAGGTAATTTTAGAGTCAACATTCACACACACATATATATATGTATACACAGAAACTTTACAGAGAGAGAGGTAATTGCTTTATATCCGTGATGACCATAAATCCGTGGGTTCGTTGTGCCAGGGCTAACTTTAGCTTTTATCGAGATAATGCTTAAACTAAGTAACACACTACTCAGAACTGTTAGACTTATTAATTACAGATTTTACGTTAGAAATGTATCGTGACGTGCCTACGATTAGTACAGTTGGTTTTTATCATAGTAAATAATATAAAACTCTCCAAAGCTAAAGGCTTTTCTCTATTTATTTCAAAGAATGTTTTGGTAACTGCGTTTATTAATTGGGAACATCGTTATCATATTTTAAATGTTTTTGTATTTTTTTTTGCTACGCTTGGAGTGTGATTATTATACTGTGATACGCCTTTTGGCTCCAGTGCTTCTTTGTTTCGTTCAGTTAATAATCATGAAAACAACTGGTGAAATGTGTTTCATAGAAAGAGTGCGAGATGAATTATTAACGAAGGTGTCACATTATGTTTAAGAAGGTTTTAATTTAAAAATGTAACAGAATGAAGTATATTAAATCATATATAACGTTGTTTTGCTCAATGCATATTTAAAAGTAGTTAGTTCTTACACGCCACGCATAGCGCCCTTCGTCCTTTCCAGGTGGATACCAAAATTGTTCAATGACTATACAGCATTTTGATCATGTGATCAAAACGGTCATCCATTTTGTAACTTTCAGCCAGTAGGTACGAAGACCGAATATTTAAGATTCTTCGGTTCGTTGGCACAAATGGCGACGCTTAGGCTTATGGACTATCAAAGTTTGCGTTTGAAACGGTAGCCAGCTGATGTGGGAGAAACAATTTAAACAGGTATATAAGTATTTAAAATTATATGAAAAGGAATTTTTTTAAATGAAATAATTAAGTGAGAGAAGGAATTATAGTACACGTTTGTTACTACTTTGAACTACTTAGTTTTACCAGTGCTATTACTAGTATTAGTATTAAAATCTCAATTCCAAATAATTCATTTGATTCATGAATCAGTGTTAATTGTTATTTGCACGTTAACCTACCTGGAAATGAGTAAATTTAAGTGTTAAGTTTCAATATTTTATTGTATATTTTACTTAGTTTACTCTGTCGAATTAAAATAGACAAAAATTAAAATTGGGTCATTCTGAACTTAAAATTTAAAAATCCTTATGAACGATGAACAAACTAAGCTTAAGCCTTAAAGTTAAAGGTTAGTCCCTTTACAGGTTAAACTTAAAATGCTCGTTAAAACTTCAAATACTTAAAACAATAAATTTAAAATTTCGTGGGTGAAACAAAATTTCTAAGTTATCCGATTATCACTCAATAAGAAATACTAGGCCTATTTTATTTTTTGTAAACATTCTTTCTACATTGATAGTGATACCTGTAAAATTGATTCGAGAAATAACACAATTAATGAAATAATTTAACAATAATAGCAAAAATAAGTTATTTTAGTATTTATTAAATTGACCATTTATGAAAAGTGAATGGACACAATAGTTTGTTGTATATTTCATGATACTTTTTGTAATTGTTACTCAAAGATGCCATTTTTAACATTTACCTATTTATCTAGGATTTCAAGTTTTAAGTAAAATGTTTCTTGTAAGTTGTAAAGGACTGAACTGCATGCTAATGTTATTCTTGTTCATTGTAATGTAGTTATAAAATATCTTATCTGAAGTGTAGCATAACCTGCTTAGATAGCTGTTGAACTTGAAATGGCAATTTGAATATTTTTATATCTTATTTAAGAAGATTTGCTATCATAAATTTTTCCTTTTGATATTTGTACAATTTATACCATACAGATAATACCTGGCAGTCTACAAATGTGAATACTGAAGAGTCTTGATTTTGTATATTTTAATAAAATGACCTGAAACTATATATGAATAATTTAGTTGTGTCATTTCCTGTTTAGGAATTAAACTGGATTACAATTACAAGTGTACAGGTACACAGTACAACTAAACTATTTGTAATTTTAAAATACCAGATACCTGCCAGTACATAATTTCTTTATCATGAATAGTGATAAGCTTCCAATATGATGGTTAATTTATTATTATTATTTACATGTGTGTGTGTGTGTGTGTGTATATATATATATATATATATATATATAA